GTACCTTCCGGAATGATTTTTTTTTTTTTTTTCCTGGCCTTTTTTTTTTTTTTTTTTTTTTTTTGTGTTTTATTTGCATTTTGTCTCCTCAGCATCAAATCCTGAGAGACGGAGAAGACGGACCACATCTGCATCCATTCCAGGCCAGCTTGTCTCATTGGGGCCCCTTCAATTGGTCGAAAATGACCCCGAACAGGATGATGTGCAGTTTAAAAAACTGAGCAAGGGTAAACCTTCGGTCAAATTGTCAGAAAACTTGCTAATTATTTTTTTGTGCTTATAAATATTTTTTGTTTTCCCTCTTCCTTAGCAATCAGAGGGATGGTGTATGTTCTCTGTGGGGTCGGTGCTCTCCTGCTGGTGATTCTGCTCTTTGCTCTTCGGTCAAACAGCCAAAGATGTAAGAGGGGGAAAATCACAAGCTCACTTTAAATAATCTAAGTAAATCGTTTTTTGCCTTGTAGCTAAGACAATAGCTGTATATTATGTTGATCATCCAGAATTTTATCTTTCAGAAAAAACTAACTGGAAGGTTAGAGTGAATGGGGGGAAAATAGAACATAAATGGTGTTAGATTTCTTTTAGTTTTTTTGTCGACAGATATATTTGCTCCTATTACTGTTTTGAATGATTCAGGAGCAGAGAAATGAACAACTGTAATTCTGAAAATAAAGTTAATTTCCATTCTTGTTTTACGTTTGATTTTATGCAGGGGCCTTCCACATTTCTTCCCACTTAAAATGCGTGAAGTCTGCATTTTTCTAAGTGTTTAGGTTTAGTTCCTGAAGGGCTCCTGTGATGCAGTGGGTTGGACACCGCAAGAATATTTATTGCATCTAGCGGGTTTACCAAGCTGGTCATCAACTTAAAAGATAAACCCAGACAGAGCCAGTTTACGATCTAGAATCATGTAGGATTTAACAAAAGGAAGAACACAAAAGAGAAGATATACAGCATCTCACTTCAGGGTAACAAATGTTTATTTAGTTGAAACGTTTTGCACAGATTTATGCTATGGTGGCTGAGCAGCACAGCTGAGAGCAGACTTGAGGAAAATGGCATCACCACCATCAACAGGTAAAATATGTCCTCTGGGCAACAGGAGGATTTAGTTTCCAAAAAAGGGAGATCTCTATAAATCAATATAAGATGTATAATATAAAAAAAGGAAAAAAACAGACTGAAACAACAAAATTGAGATTAAGAGGGGGGGAAAGCAAGAGATCAAGCTTCAGCAGAAGGATGGTCATCAGTCTTCTACCGAGAGAATCTAGAAAGCTCAAAGTCTGGATAAAGTCAATTAACTGAAATTTTTCATTTATAGTTGGGTTCAGGAACAAGCTCTAAATCCTCTTCCTATTCTGGCTCTTTCCAAAAGTGCCCCAACTCCCCATACAACTCTGTCACGAACAGCTTTGAGTTTCATTTTCCACCTCAGTGAGGATCCTGCTGCTCTGTGGTTGTCTTTAACCTCATCAGGAGATATTGGTTCCTTATTTTGTCTTTAAAGGGATGCATCTCTAGAAATATGGTCAGGGCAGCAGGTGCAGTTGTAGTCAGCATCAGAGGCCTAATGGTCCATGTGGACCAACTATGTAGCTTTACTTTTCTCTGACCCAGGAGAGTATTCCAGTATTCCAGACGGCTGTAGGCCCAACACCAGGGGGTTAACTCCAGTCCTCAACGTGTCATGGATGTTATGAGCAATGAGGCAGATTTGCTTGGACCTTTTTGCCCAAACATCTCCCATTATAATGATCCAGGAGTCATGTTAGCCCAGGTTTGGTCTGTTCAGTAAAAAAAAAATGTTAAAGGCAACTGGATGATTGAATTAATACTGATGATCCTTTAAAAAAAATAAAATAAAACTTGGTCTGAGGTTTCTTCAGATTTTAAAGGTAAAGCAGGTGAATGAACTCCGCATTCTTCAAAATGGGACAGACCATTCCCTTCTGGAGTCCAATTTTCTCACAACAGGTGAAAGCAGAACCAAAGCAGAAGCAAGAACGATGTAATTGCATACCACATCACTCTAGGAGCCTGCAAAAGATTTATATTTCTCATTTTAAAAATCCTGCCAACAGATTAAATGATCTAAGCTGTATGCCTCATTTTAGACTAGCTAAACCTACCTATATTATTTTTCAAACTTTAATAGATTTAACACACGACAAATAACATATGAAAGCTATTGTGTCATTTACCTTGGTGTACTTTGTTAGCTACATACTGTTAATAGCAAATTCATAATTTCTTGCTTATTACTTCATGTGATTTGCATATTAGTTCGCCAAAGAATGATTGTGAACTGCAGACACCTTAAAATGTGGTACAACACTGCGTTAAAGCTACTCCTATCAGCAGGTACAATCGACCTCTTATAACTGGCCTTTGGTGGTGTGATTCCATGCTTTGTGCTCAGGAAGACATGCTGCTACAATCGATAACCGAAGGTTTACATGTAGAAATACCCGGCTGTCACCAGAATAATGTCAGTTCTTTAACCTGACGATTTTCTGGTATTAAGAAGGCAGTTAAGTGATCAATATTTTTTTTATCATGCATTCTTTTAGTTGCATTGTTTTTCACCTCTCCATCAAATTCAACAGTAAATCAACTAGGTTTAATTATAACTTACATATGCTGAAAAACTCGTTTTTGTGTCTGAAAGAATTTTTCTCAAAAAGTATGTGCAAAAAATAAATTTCACAAGATTTCACAATGTATATGAGTTGGAAAAACAGCAAAAACAGTGTTCCCAATATTTACACTTGAAGCTAAAATAAGACATTCTAATCTCCCTGTAAGTATTTACCCTTTTTAGAAAAGGATTTCTTATGGTTCATCATAAAGCGTCATGGCTGTAATAACTTGAAAAATGATGCAAGACCTGAACCAATGAACTGTTTAATGTAAAAAATGCAGTTTTATTCCAAGCACCGATATTCAGTCACATGAAGTATTACATTGCTTTGAATCTATAGGGAAGCTAGAAGGTGGTGTGGAGAGAGAGCTTTGCACATCAGCCATTTGATCTTCCCAAGTGCACCTTACCTCTCAGTCAGGTCCTTACCCTAAGCTTAGATCAAGTTAATCAGGCTTCTGTAAAAAGCTGCTTGAAACTGTCTGCAATCCTTAAAAGGATAACAGTGTAAAATATGTTGCTCTCTTTAACGCATCTATTAGTCCTTTCCACATGATTCTTCAACCATGCTATGTCCTGAGTGACCAGCCAATCATGGAGTGATGTTAATGAGAAACAATGGCCTGTAGACATTGCAGGGGACCAAGTCCTCTAGTCTGAATTCTTTGTATCATAACAGCCACATCTTTATTCAGAAGCAGCATAATGCCAGGCTTCCAAAACAACTCTTTGTGACTTACAGAGCCAGAATATAATGAGGAAATGAAAGTGATGGCACCATGTCGTGACACACCAACCAGACCATGGTAGAATGGAATCTGTGCTGTGAAAATGTCTCATTTGGTTTAATCTGTTTTATTAGACGTGTTAAAATGGTCCAGTCATAGTCCAGACCTAAACCTAATCGAGAATATGTGGCAAGTAAAAAAAAAAACTGCTGTTACAAATGTTTTTCATTTGATCAGACTGAGCTTGAGCCACATTTTGAGCAGTATGAATTTTTTTGCAAACCAATGTGCAGCTAGATCGATGCGTATGCATGCAGTTTTTAGACCGTCAAATAATAAACTCTGCATTGTTTTGCTTCACATTTATGCAAAACTTTATATAATAAAAGTCTCAATAATTATGAAGGAGTTTACCTTCCAAAAACTTCAAAAGCTGTTATGAGAAAAAAAAAATGTTGGAACAAAACTTTACGTTATATCAAAACAAACACATAAACATTTACAGTTTACAAAATGCTACCCTTCCCCATGGTGTCGTTTGGAATCCGTTATTTAATAGCCATGAAACAGAAACAAACGTTAATTAATAACATAATCTTATGTTTGTGATCAGAAACAGTGAACTGAACCAAAAAGGGGCTTTTGGTCAATAAGGTTTGAACTTCCTCTGTGCTCTCATCAGAGCTATCCGCTGTTTATCCTCCTCAAACTTCTTCCTCAGTTCAGCAATATCTGGGGAAGAAAATAGATAGGGGGACATTTTTTTTTTTTTATTCCCTCTTAACTGTAGTGTGCCTTGATAGTCAAGTGTAATAAAGTGAAAAACTTACGTTCTTTCTGCGTATTCCGGTGCTGCCAGGTGTAGAAGTTCATCAACTCTTTCCTCTTATTCTTCCTGCCCTCCCTCTGCAGAGTCCTCTGGTTGGCAGCTTCGCTGTGAGGCCGAGCCTTGGTGCCTTTGTGGCCTCTTGTGACTTTCACCCAGCCCTCCTCGTCCTCCTGCTGTTTCTCAGCTTCCTGTCTCTGGCGTTCAGCCTCCTGCGACAAACAAATATTAGATTAAGTTCTTCTGAACTTATATATATATTCAGTAGGGAAAGTTGTGCTCTCTTTTTACCTCTTCTTTCCGCCTGTCGTAGTCCTGCATGAATGAGTCGACTGTCAGCTGCAGTTTGTCAGGGTGAATGAAGGACTTTGTGTACTGATGGATCCATTCTGTCATGGGGAAAAAAGCCAAACATGCATGTATCATATTTTCCCTCCATTTAAAGGGCTTATTAACAACCATCTGAATGCTTTCTAAATATTGATCAAGAGGTTCTTTTTACAGTTAAACTAACATGATAGAAGACATAGCACCTTGCCAAAGCAGTTGCACCACTCAATCTTTTTCCCGTTTTTATATTTCAATTTATTATTATTTATTTGTTGTTGTTTTTCCAGCACTAGTGTCTCATTTTTTTCGAAGGTAACAATACATAGTCCTCATATTTTTAGTAGCTGTTTTATGTCATTCTATCCATCTTTCTAGGAACTGAGAACAGCTTGATGTTATCACCACTGTGTTGATTTGCAGTGTTAGCATTTATCCTGTGGTTTACTGTATATAGATCTTACCATGTTGGTCAAAAAATGCACTGTTGTCCTCTGTTTAAACATAATTTAGTGCTTTTTTGCAATGACTAGAAAAATAGAAAATTAACTTTATTAATCTCACAATGGAGAAATGAATTCTCTGCATTTAACCCATCCCCTTTGGGGAGCAGTGGGCTGCCATTGTGCAGTGCCCGGGATGCAGTGTGGGGTTAAGGGTATTGATCAGAGACCCAGAGTGCATGCTGTGGGAAACGAACCAGGTACTTGCAACCTTCTCAGAGCACAAGCGTACACCTCTAACCACTAAGACAACCCTCCGCAATAAAGAACTATTAGTATTCCCTACAGCACATTAACCATCTCAGCTGTAGATCTCTGCTGCTAGATTGGATTTACTAGAGGGCCTTTTGGCATCTTCTGTTTCAATTCTCTCTTCGTACAGTGCATTTAGGTAGATGGCCATC